TGAGCTGTGGTGCTGGAGAAGAATGTTGAATATACCATGGACTGCTAGGAGAACAAACAGGTTTGTCCTGAAGAGGGTGAAGCCAGAATGCTACTTGGAGTCAAGGATTCTGAAGCTTCATCTGACATTGGACATGTTGCAAGGAGTGACCAGACCTTGGAGAGGGACAGTAGGAGGAGGTGTGTTGGAGACAATGAGGTTGGCACAGGATAGAGCAGGGTTTAGGGCTCTTATACATAGGGTCATTATGAGTCGCAAGTGACTCAATGGCACGTAACAACAACAACAAATATTTAAACAAATAACATGTTTATTGTATATAATAGATCTATATTTCTTTCTCAAGACAAATGACAAGCAATCTCTTAGTTTGCTTTATTTTGAGGTTTGTCAACCACATCCTCACTTTGCTTTGCTAAGATGAAACCATACTTTAACTCTCTTGTTTGGATTTAGATATTCCTGAAACCGCTTCCATGCACATATTTACAGACTTGTGTATGTGTGCTATTAGCAAATAAATGGTTCATGAAGAGAAATTTTTAATAACCTCCTGTGCCATCACTGGTAACTGTCATTGCCAACCTGAAGTGCTAGCTTGGGAAAGATTTTGAGGCCATGAGCATGTGTCAGCACCCTATATAATTACACCAGGTAAACCATAAATTTTTTACTAAATTACATAAAATTTACTAAATTATTATCTCTAGTTTCAGCCTCAGAAAGAAACAACACTTTGATGTACCAAAGGTGCTGTGATGTTTTCCAACATACAATCACTTCTCAGTGCTAACATGCCTGACCACTAAGGCTTTGGCCATGTTAATCATTACTGCCCAAATCATCCTCTTTTCTTGATTGTAATGACTCTACACTTCCCCCTAACTCTTATACTGCTCTTCCTCTTACTTCTTTACTAATTCTTTTTCCACCACTAAGGACCTCTTGGGGCATAGTGTCAATATAGCCAGGTTGCTAACCATAAGGTCAGCAGTTAAAATCCACCATGTGCTCTCTCCTACCATAAAGATTTACTGCCTCTCAATCTCAATGGAGTGTTGACTTGAATCAAAATCAACTGAACACCAATGAATTTTCCTGTAATTGTTGTTATTGTGTGCCACCTAGTGAGAACCCACCTATACCTAACCCTCCAACAAGTTTTCAGAGGCATGGGAGGAGCTTAGCCATCTTTCTCCTACAGAGCCACTGGTAGACTCGAGCTGCATGTCTTCAGAATAGCAGCACAGTTTGTTCCCACTAGGTTGCCTGTGTTCCCCTGGAGATGCATTCAGCTGAAGGTCTTGTCTCCTTCCTCTTGCATATGTCTGAATGAGTTAGTCATGATATCCATTCCTACTCCAGTTCCCTTCTAGACCTCAAAATGAATAAATCTAGCTAACTACTACCCAGCTCCATACTGCATGTTCCTCTGCCATTTTAGGCTCCATAACCAAATCTGAATTTATTGTCCTCATTTACTACCATGTGAAATCAATTTATTAGCTTGCAACTAGCATTCAAAACATACTATAGAATGGAATGGATGTGGAAATAGTAGAAGGCATTTATTGTACAAAGCAAAGAATTGTTTCTGGAAACTTTTATGTGTGCACTAGGCTGTGATTTATGTTTTCTTCTTTCTAGTCGTAATAAAAAGCATCTATTCTCTTTCTTTTCTTACTTCTCTATCTGAGCTGATCCCTTTGATCCATTTCTCCTGCCATGAATTTAATTCAGGCCCCAGCCTTCTCTTGTCTGGATGATTATGATATTCTACAATGGATCTTTTGCTTCCAGTCTCCCTACCTATCATCCTCCACTCTCTAATCCAGTCTTCACAAGCTGCTAGAACTATCTCTCAGATACTCTCCTCCTCCACTATAGATCAAAGGCATCAATTTTTCTTCTTTAATTCTTATTAATTGCCCAGCTCTCAGATGCATAACAAGTGACTAAAAAGGACCATTGTCTGAATCAGGCACATCTTATCTTCATTCTAACATTATTGCTCCTCAGTAATTTGAAGATGTCCTTGACTGCAGGCTTTCGTAGTCCAATATATCTCCTAACTGTGGATCCAAGTAAGATGAAGTCATTGACAGTTTCAATCTTTTCTCCATCTATCATGATGTGAGAATTTTTATTTTCTTGATGTTAGGATGCAAACAATATTGAAAGCTACAATGTTTGATCTTCTGCAGAAAGTGTTGAATAGCCTCCTCACTTTGAGCAGGCAGAGTTGTGTCATCTGCATATAACAGGTTATTGGCCCTGATGCCACCTTCTTCTTCACAGAGACTGGCTACTCAAATAATTTGCTCAGCATACAGACTGAATATGGAAAAAGCATACAACTCTGACACATGCCTTTCTTAATTTTAAACTTACAGTGTTCCCTTGCTCTGTTTGCACAATAGCTCTCGGTCTAGGTATAGATTTTGTATAAGCACAATTAAGTGTCCTACCAACTGTGAACAGACCATCAATTACTCATGTGTAAATTCAAGTTGAGGCTAAAGAAAATTTAAAAATGCTCTTGAAAACCAAAATATGATCTGGAGTCTAGCAACAATTTGTATCCTGGAAATTGTGGGAGCCCTCTTCTGCACTATCTTTTCATGTAAACTATAAAGCAGAACCTTTTGAATATAAACTGATAAGTGAATAAAATTCTTTATTAATTTAATAATCCTTAAGTTAACCTTGGAGGGAAGGAAATGTTAAATTATTGTCTTTTCAGAAAGAGATTATATAACTTCTTTGATTATTACTAGAACGCACAGGGGCTAGAATATAGGGTATATTTATATAAATACAGTCATTGATATAGAAGATTTTACTTGTATACAATGTTATCAGGGAGGTCTGGTGGCCTAGTGGCAAGAAGCTGCATTGCAATCCTGAAGGCACGTGGTTTGAGGCCACCACCTGCTCTGCGGGAGAAGGATGGGCAATCTCCTCCCATGTGATTAACTGCCTCTGAAAACCCACTGGAGGGTCAGATATGGGTTGGTTCCAACATGATGGTACACAACCACCACCACCACCACCTTATGCATATTAAAGTGTTTCCATTAACAATATCAATCTCTATGTCATTCTATATTGTATTCCTTCTGTTCCAAATGTCCTTTTCCTCTTTATTTTTTTATAAATTCATATTCATTTTAAAAAATCTGCACAGTGACCCCTTTCCTGAAAGCCTTCTTTTATTTCTTTAAAGAAAAGCAATATCTTAACTAATACCTTGTTCTTTAAAATTGTTTATGCATAGAATAGTTTTTTTCTAAATTATAACCAAATTCAAATTCCAAACAAGCAATGCTTATAAGATACAATTAAATTTAAAAATTGTTAGCATGATATAGTTTTCTGTGAACCTGCATTAAATTTTTCACCACAACATCACTTATTTTTCATTTTCTAACTATATTTATCAAGTTGTGACAGCAATCAGTTACAGTTACATTAATAGTCTATAGAAAGTTGAAATGTCGATACTGGAGAAAAAAGTCTATTAAAATACCAGTACGGTTCTCATTCACCAAAGAAAATAATTTATTCAAGTTCCTAAACCAAACTTGAGTTATCCTTATAAAAGGCCAGTTAAGATTAAGAAACAAATAGTTTTCATCTAGTGGAAGCTGAAATCAATATATATATTTGACCAAACACCTCCTGAACCTGCCATTTTTTTGAAGTCTTTCAGGGTCTACCAGGCTAAACCTTTGCTGCCTTCCACGCTGTGGATTTGTTTTTTCCCCTTTGCTTTTTGTCTCTTTGCTTTCAACTTTTTTTCTCCACCTCTGTTTCATCCAAATTGGTCACTAGCCATGCTGGTCTAGAAGCTCTTTTTTTTTTCTTCTCAGCATCAGACTCCATTTTCACGTCCTCTTTTTCATCATTCTCTCACAATGCATTTTTTTCTTGGTAATGTTTGGGTAAAGCCCAAGTTGCAAACTCTTGAACATCACTCATTAAATCATCACCACCTACATTGAGAATAGCTTTAAACTGGTGGAGCTCCTTTGGTGCATTCTTTTTCCTGTTTTGGACATGAGTCTTCCTTTTCCACTGATTCTGTAAGCTTTATAGCCATGTTTTAGCCAAGATTCATAGACTCACGTGCAGCAGAGTAATTGAGTTGACTGAAAGTTTTCACACTTTCTTCTTCCAGGCCATTCCTTACAATGTTTAACAGATTAACATAGTAGAGTACTTTAGAAATATATAGTTAAGAAATTATTATTTGAGAACTTAAAGACATGGATTTTCAGTAACAAAGTGACATCATTTGGGGGCTTTTGCTTTTTCCTGATTGCCCCATGTGTGCTCTATTTAATTATACTTAAAAAAGAAAGGGTGATATTGTAATTTTTTTAACCTAAGTATAACAATTCTATTGAAAATATGACACAATGGCTGTGCACTTTGGTCTTCTGAGATTGCTGAGTAAGATATCTGGAAGAATTATCTTGAATAAGAATCTAAATTTACCTTTAAAAGTGAAAACTTGTAAATAACCAGAAAATTTTACAAAAATCATATACAATTAGTCCTCATTTATGAGTCGTCTCATTATCTAACATTTCACATTTAGCACAATAATGACAAATCCACTATTGTACTATTTTTCACATTAGTATAATGTCTGGCAGTAAATAATGCCACGGTGCAAGGTGAGATTAAAACTATGATAGTTAAGATTAGGTGTCAGTTTGGCCCGTAATTCTCAGTGTTTACTATTTACTATTTTGGACGTCATATAGCAATGTAGTTATACTCCATTTTATGATTGGATGTAGTCATCCCTAATTTGCATACAACAATAATTTTCACATAACAACTTGGTCTTTACAATTTAATCAGGTGGAAAATGAGAAGTGAGGGAAGTAGTTTTGAAATTAGTAGAGAGGTGTGATCACTGCCAGTCTCTGAAAAACTCGTGTTGCTCACTCTTCCAACACTAAGGCCACAAAACAGAGGAAACAACATACCTCTAAATCTCCTGAGATATTGGCACCAGCAAGAATACCAGTAGCTGCTGGGAAAAAAATGGCAAAGACAGAGAAGAAGCCTTCGCCTTTTGTGAAGCTCGGGCCAAAGTTTTCTGCAAATATTGATGCTGCAACACAAAGGATGAGAAAATTATTAGATAGTTTTTCTACGTAAAAACTTCAGCTCCCACAGTCCTAAATGCAAATATATCCCTGCATTCTAAATGAAATAAAGCTAAAGATGTTGGTGTACTCCTAATGGGCATACTGTGAATATATGCAACCATCAAGTTGTGTATCACCAAGTTTTAGATCTCTAGGACAGCTCTGCTGTGGGGGTGAGGGATCACTAATCTTTGTGCCAGTGGGGAGACTCGGGGTGCCTGGCTTCTTTGAATCTAGAAGATAGAAAGAAAGGAGATAAAGAATTCTCCCACACTCATGATGGTATTCTTACAATAGTCCCTTTCTTCACCCCTGCCACACAACTATATTCTCACATAATAAATATTTTTAAAGCATCAACACAGAATGCTTTTTTGTTGTTGTTATCAGAGTCCCTTGTAGGTAATACTTTTAACATTTTGCTACAAATGTTACTGACCTTCCCCTAAGTCTCACCTCCAGAAATTGCAATTCTAATTTATACCAAACTCTCATGTGTGGGGAATATGCTAGTAGGGAACTTTGGTGCTAAATTAGCACTATATCACAAGTTAGTTTGAGAACTGAGAGTTGCCACCAATTACTTAGACAAAAGGAAATAATCTAGAAGAAAACCAGGCAAGGAAAAGAAGAAAGATGTGAACGAAAGAATCTGAGATAGAAAAGAGCATTTAAAATAAAAATTATGATTAGACATTATTTGCATGACAACAGTCCAGATAAGAGGTATATAGCAAAGAGGGCTGGGGGCAGAGGTGGGGGAAATGATGCATGATTTTTTGATGCATGATGAATGATTTTTTTAAGTGAACTAGGGAGCATGGGGAGGAAAATGTGCAACAGTGAATGAATAGAAATCCAAGTTTTCTGTAAACTTTCATTTAAATCACAATAAAAATTATTTAAAAGAAAATAAAAGTTACAGCAAAGGTTTAAAGGAGAGAAAAGAGTAGAAAGGAAAAAAAGATGTTAATTAATATGCAAAGCAAACAGTAGACAATCTTCAAAAAGAAAAATAATCAAGAAGAAAGAGATGATAAATAAGAAGATAAATACTGACAACTAAGTAAATCATGAAGAGAATTATTAAAAATAAAGTGTAAGTGGGTGCTTGAAAAAGAGGAAGGACAGGAAGGAGTGGACTGACTAGAATGGGATGTAAAGTAGAACATTTCATGTTCATTAAAATGATGACAATATGATAAAGGAACTTCCACAATGTTTTCTGGTTCAAAACTTGATAGTAACACTCACTAGGTAATACTGTGCCAAAGCAAGGTATAAAACATCTAGTAGGAAGGAAAAAAAAAAATTACTGAGCTTGACTTTAATGCTCTGGAACAGTGAAAAAAATTGTCCAAAATGGTCCTTTCCTTTGAGTGTCCTGTCCTTGTCTACTATTTGATAGTGACAACAACAACTTGTCCAGCACTTTAAAACTTACAAAGTGCTTCCACATCCATTCTCTCCTCTCAGCAAGGTATTATTATCGCCCATGCTTTAGCAGCAGAATTCTGAGATGCAAACACCTTCAGCTCAGTTGATAAATGGCAGAGTGTTGACACTCTATCTAGTTCTCTACCTGAATCCAAGTCCAGGCTTTTCCCTGGACCACTGTGGTGATGGAGATGGTGGTGAATGGCAAGTGAACCATTCATTGCAAAGCAGTTAATTTGTCACACTTACCTTGATAGTTAAAGAAGCCTCTGGACCTCTTTTCATTGTTGGATGGAATGACTGTGCCAATGAAGAAATTGGCAATAGCAATGAGAAGAATGACCAGAAGAATCACTTGAGCCTGGAAAGGCAAAGTAATAGAATTCAGATTAGATTGATTTAACTATTTATCAAATTTAAAATGTATACATATCTGCTTGAGAAAACATCTCATTATTCCAGTTAGGATTCTATTCTCCAAGGTATGATATAAATATGCAAAGGATATAATATGTATGTAAAGGATATAAATATCTCTATAAAATGGCTAGGATGTCGAAACTTCACTTCATAGACATTGGGCATGTTGGCAGAAGGGGCCAGTCTTTGAAAAAAGATACTGTGATTGGAAAGGTAGTTGTTGTGTACCATAGAGTCAGAACTGACTCATAGCTGACCCTCCAGTGGGTTTTCAGAGGCAGTTTTTAAGTGCACAGGAGGAGACTGCCCATCTTTCTTCTGCAGAGCAGCTGGTGGATTTGAACCCGTGCCTTTGGGATTACAGCACAGTTTCTCACTACTAGGCCACTAGAGCTCCCTCTAAAAAGGTAGATCAATAAAAGAGAGGAAGACCCTCAACAAGATATGGTAACTGAAACAATGGGTTTGATCATGGCTGAGATTGTGGTAACAGTGCCAGCTAGGGCCAAGTTCTGTTTGTTGTTTATAAGGACACTAGGACCACACTCAACAACACCTAATTACAACAGCAAAATAAAATGACATCTTGATATGCCTTATTTTACCTGGGTGCAAATGTTACATTTTTGGTAGAAACATGAACTTAGTCATTTGAAGGTGACCCTTCACAAGTATTTCAAGTAAATAAGTACTGCAACATCCTCAGGGATGTATAAGGAGCCCAGGACCTTTGAGTTGAAGACTTTTTAGGTAGACTATGTTTAGATTCTTCCCTTTTCCAGAGCTAACTGCAGCAAGGGGTACCAGAGCACACAACAGTCAGTGAACACCCAGGGTACAAGCTGCTAGGCTGCTAACATGAGCCCAGTCAAAGGCGTGTGCAGTGTTGACCAGCCTGATGGTCTTCCTTCAATCTCTCCAACTGGATGAGTGTTCACTGATTTGACCTCTCATATGCTGCTCCTTTCACCTGAAACACACTTCTTACTACTCTTTTCACAATTTTCTTCTCCTCATTCTTTAAGTCTATTATGTCCTTGGAGAAGCCACTCTTAAGTATGCAATCTAAATATTAATAGCTAGCTTTCATTGAAAGTTTATAACACAACAGAGGCAGATTTAAAATTTTACCTGTGCTCTTTCAAGAGAGTACCACCAACTCTATAAAGTGTTATCATTATCCCCATTTTAAAAAATAGGAAACTAAGACACAATGAGGTTATGTTTATGGACAGGCATACAGATACAAGCCGGAGCCAAATCCAAGAAGTCTGGCTACATAGTTAGACTTTTATATGCTACATTTTATTGTTCAACTCAGTGGGATTTCAGTGGTTATAAACAACACTAGAGGAGATTGCTCATCTTTTGTCAGTTGGTGTATTCAAACTGTTTGCCTTTGGGTGGACGACATGACTCCTTGCCTACTGGACCATCACAGCTCCTACTATTAAATGATATTATTTTCCTATAAACTTTATCTAAGCAAGTCTTATTTTTTCTATGTCCATACTCTATTTCTTTTTTCTTTTCTAACAACTTAACATTCTATGTCTATTTACTTGGTTATTGCTGATTTTCTCACTAGGTCATATAATCAGTGTCTCCTTTGGTCTCACCTCAATACCTAGTTCCTAGGAAGACAGAAGAATTGATGCCTTTGAATTGTGGTATGTTGGAGAAGAGTAATTAATACCCCATGGACTGCAAAAAGAACAAACGGGTATGTCTTGGAAAAGGTGCAGCCATTTTGCTTCTTGGAGACAAGAATGACAAAGCTTCATCTCTCATACTTTGAACACATTTCTAGGAGAGATTCTTCCTTGAAAACGGATATTATGCTTGGAGAGGTGGAAGATAGATAAAAAAGAGGAAGACCTCAATAAGATAGATTGACATGGTGACTACAGCAGTGGCTCAATTGTTTCAGAGATAGTGAGGATGGTACAGGATAGGACAGGATCCAAATCTGTTGTTCATAATGTTTCTATGAGTTATACTCAACATCACCAAACAACAACAACAAAAACAACAAGCAGAATACCAAACAATCAGTTTTTGTTTAATGTTTGAGTATATAATCTACAAATAAATTTCATATAAGAATGTTTCCTATGGTCTCACATAGCAGAAGATTTGGCTATCTTTTGGTTTCTTGTGGCCAATTGAGATCTAATTTTTGTGTTTCTGGATGTGGATGGACAGTCACAGTGCATTACTGTGCAGTTAACAATGGAGGCAAAAGACATGTTCCCCATAGTACAGAATTTTGCTTTTACTACAAATATTTATAAGCAGTTATCTGATATCTGACCCTAAGGTCTATATGTTCTCATATTTATTCTTAAAGTACTGAATTTCATGGGAGAAATAATAGTTACTGTTTTTATTGCTAGGTTGGTATAATCCATAGAGTGTTTCACTGTCCATATCTGGTGATTCAAATCCACCAACTGCTCCGTTAGAAAAAGAGAAACAGTTTCCTCCTGGTAAGCCCTGGAAAATGGTTGAGAGATTACTACGAATCAACATACAATGGAAGGCAGTGTGGGTGACTGTTACTGTTTCTCAACACACTTGCTATATCTTTAGAGATTCAGCATCCACACTCAATTTGAAAGGGTATAAGAGGTGTTTAATTGAGAGATGGGATTCTAGCATGTACGATTGTTATGACTAAAGTGTGAAGGTTGCAGCTACTGGATACTTGTGTCATTGCATTGATTGTACCAAAGACAGACAAAGTATAAACACAGTAACGTGACACCCATGTTGTGGGTCATGACTGAAGGAAGCTCACACTTTGAGGGCTTGATGATCCGCCTACTACTACTGTGCTCCTCTTACCATAGCAAAAATAACAGTAATTAATTTTGAATACGGGGTTCTTCCTATTTCTCTCTCTCCACTGTAATTTTTTCAGGACCTGACCAGCAGTTGTTGATAATATCATTTTGAAAAATTCACCTTTGCTTCCCATTCCATTCCAGCTACTGAAATTCCTAAAAGAATCACCACTGTGATAGAGCCTATTATCCGGATGTCATTGGTTGGATCCACCATCATCGAATCACTCTCCTGGGTGGTCAGAAAACCAAAAACATTAAAATGGTTAGAGATACAACTTTCTTCTTGTACATCTTAGCATGTTTTTTAAATTTTTTTTTTATTCACATCTTAGCATTTAACAATAAGGAAACATACTGTGCACTGATGCCAGAAGCCAGATGGGATAATAGAATAATGAAGTGATAATAAGTTTGAGAAGATAAAGAATCTAGCATTCTTTTTCCTATGATAATATGCTTTTGATTACCAAGGCTAGGAGGTAGAAATTTTAGTGGTTCTTGTTACAGCTTTTAGAGCCATTGTTACATTAAGCAACACACTGTGTTTTGTTTCATAAGAATGACTGATTAGATCTGTGTGACAGAGGAAAACCTAGAGGAATAAAAATAAGTGTTTTTCAATAGGAAGATTGGAAAATAAGTGCTGTTCAATTAAAGAACAAACTACAAAAGTCAGATAATACATCTCTTCAAGATAATACAACTTATAAACTGTGTAATACAGTTTTCATTCACTTAATTTTCAAAAGGAAGTATTTTTGCTAATTAAATTGAGTGAATGCTTTCATTACCATGAAAGGAAACCATGAAGTCCCTTTACATATCAGTCGGTTTACATACCTGCGTGAATACCATCCTAGACTGGGCTTCTAAACTAGAAAGTACCTAGTCTTTTGTTGTCAGGTATTCCTCATATTTTAATTTCTTTTCTTTAGGAACCTATAATCCTAACAGTATTATTACTGCAGATGTGCTGTAGTGGGTCTGTTGCTTAAAATGTCTTTTACGAGCCCATTGTTTGGCTAGCTAAATCACTTCATCTGGTTTGCAACTATAACCTGACTCGGCTGCTTCAAATCTGACTGACTTGGTCCACTTGCATCATCAACAGCTGTGTGAGCCCCGGACCAGCAGCTACACAGAAGCAAGATAGGCAGACCTACACTTGAGCAGTAGCGGGATTTTTTTTTTTTTTCTTTTTTTTTTTCCACCCGAAGCTTGCTGGAGAATGGAAAGTTGTCTGACCTGAGGGATTATATATTTCATGGGCTGAGGTAAGAACAATAGTTGTCTGAGAAATAGTTGTCTGGATTGAGAAGCACAGTGAAATTGTTCTGATTTGGGACTTATTTGAAAGTACCTGACTTAGTTAGGACTGTGCTTCTGGTATTGGAGCCAGAGACCTTCACCCAAGCTTACTGGGATTTAGAGATGCCTGGAAGGCTGGAGGGACAGTGTATGGGAGGAAGACCCCAGAAGAAATGGATTGACACAGTAATTGGGGCAATGGTAGAAGGTGTGTCAGAGTCAGTGAGACTGACTCAGGAAAGGACAGGTTTCAGAGCTGTTGTACATAGGATCGTTATGAGTCACAGATGATTTGATGACATAACAACAATAACAGTATAGTTATTGTACATTGCTGCCAACTTGTATAGCCTGTTAATTATAGTTATTGACTGTATATTGTTACTTCTTACTATTCTTAATTATAGCCTATTAATTATGGTTATTTATTATATACTGTTGCTTATAGCCATTTTTAATTATAGACTGTTGACTTCCCTATTAATAAACTCCCCAACCATAAGTATGGTTCTGTCAAGTCTGTGTTGTCACTGCAACAAATTTAGAGTCCCGTTACTAGTTAGATTGGTGTTGGAATTGTTTAAAGTGAAAGTGGATGCAGGAGGTAGGGAGACCATATCTGGCCACATAACTATTAGTTTGGTACTGTGGATGTTGTTGATGGGGCAGTTTCCCTTTGTGGAGTTAGTAGAAGTCAAACTTCGCTTTCCCCATGTTGTTTTTGTTCCTTTTGCAACAGATAATAAGTAAATAACAACTTATCTGTTGTTTTGTATTTTAAAAATATTTCATGTCGTTATTTCATTTGACGTATACTACATTCTTGTCTAAAAAAAGAACAAGATTATTACTCTGATACTATAAATGCAGAAAGGGTAGAGAACATCTAAATGTGTGAGCTAGACTCAGATCCAAATCTTTTGCTGCCAAGCTGCCAAGTCCTAAGCACAAGTTCTTTTCAGTATATTAGTCTGCATTATGCAGGATAAATCCACTTGCTCTCATTTTGCCATAATATATCCCCTAGTGCCCTATACAAATCGAACAGAACTGAATTATACTGCTTGGCTGAAGAAAATAAATCTTTTTTCATTACCTTAAGAAGATCCACCACCGTCTCGGCAAATCCCACCACATACATGGCAACAGCCACAGCATTGGCAAAAGCAAAAATCAAGCCTATAGACCCACCAAATTCTGGCCCCAAGCTCCTAGAAATAAGATAGTAGGCCCCACCTGAAAGAAAAAATAAATACACTTTATACAGAGGAACTGTTAAGGGATTTCATTTTTATTATTAAATTTTCTAAAATTTTGAGAACATTTGAATTATTAATTCCAACAAAAATATAATTTACCAGTCATTTTTGGGACCTTATGTTTCAAACAGACATGTCTTGGAGAGGGTGCAGCAGGAGTGCTCTTTGGAGGCAAGAATGATGAGGCTTTGCCTCACATACTTCAGGCATGTTTCTTTCTAGGAGGGGCTGTTCTTGGAGAGGGACATGATCCTGGGAAGGGTGGAGGGTTCATGAAGGAGAGGAAGACCCTCGACCAGGAGGATTGACATGATAACTGCTGTAATGGGCTTTTGTGTGTCAGGAAGTATAAGGATGGCACAGGATAGAACAGGGTTCAGATCTTTTGTTCTTAGAGGTTGCTATGAGTCATACTCGACTCAATGGCATCTAAGAACAATGTTACTTTAACAAATAATCTCATCATTCCTGTATTCTGTACATAATCTAGAGTAGAAATATTCTGACTTCATAAAGTCTAATACTGGAAATTTAAAATATGTAAATACTGCAAATGAAAACACAAAGAGCTTCATTAAAAAATCCTTTGTCTTTTCAAGGTAGTAATCCAATAGTTTAAGTCAATAATGTAGCCAAAGATAAGCTTTGGAATAAGATTTTCAAGAACAAGTAGACCTATGTAAAATAAAGTGGGTGAAATTTATCATTGTCTTCTAGCTTCCTTCCTGGTAAATATGTCTAAGTTTTTGGTATATATTTTCTATGTGAAATAATGAACTTGGGTAGTGCCATGTCCTCATCCAGTATATTAAGATTAAATTGGCTGTATTTTTAGCTCAGAAAGGTATGATTATTATCAAAGACCTACATGTGTACTGGAATGGTAAGTAAGAAGAAAGGCAATTAAGAGCTGGAATAATTGCTTCTCCTTTGGACATTGGAAAAATTGTCTTGACTGTGGTATACATTATAAACAGACCAAGAGGATAATCTAATGTATGTAACTGAAGGAAAAACAAAACAAACAAAAATCCAGCTCTGGCAGTGCAGTCCCTTGAGAGTTGTGCAACTAACCAAAAGGTTAAGCCTCGCTGGTTTGAATCCATCAGCAACTCCACAGGAGAAAAGTGAACAATCTCTTCCCATGCAATTTACAGCTTTGGAAACCCAATAGGAGCTCAGCTTTTAATTGGTTTTGACTAGATGGCAATGAGTGAGCGATGCATTGAGAGGCCCAATTTTCACGGTTGTTGTTATTAGGTGTAATAGGGTTGGTTACAACTAACAGCAATGCCACATGATAGAGTGAGCCCACAGGATTTTCTCTTAATTCAAACAGAATAAGGGGATACTGCATGGGGGATTTTTGTTTTTTTTTTAAATTGAGATTTTAGTGAAAGTTTATAGAGAACTTGGATTTCCATTCATTCATTGTTGCACATTTTCCTCCCTGCCCTCTCTCCCCCTGCCCCCAGTTTGCTTTTTTCTTTGGAAAAAAAATTTCTTTCATTGTTATACAATACCTTCTCCCCTTTACTATGAGACCACTTTACTATGAAGCTCTTATTCTAGACTCTTGCCATGCCAATAATACCTAACCATATATTCCTTTTATACCAGTTTCTCCCTCGTCTGTTTCAAGGCCGTGTACATTATTTATCCCTGCATGTTTTTAAATTAGGAAATGTGTGTGTCAGGGCTGTATCCTTTCTTCATGCCTATTCAATCTTTATGCTGGACAAATAATTAAAGAAAGTGGACTATATAAAAAAGAATGTGACATCAGGTTTAGAGGAACACTTACCAAGAACCTACATTATACACATGACAAAAAACTATGTTACAAAAAGTGGAGAAGACATGAAGCACTTACTAAAGAAGATCTAAGATTACAGACTTCAGTATGTTTATATCTCAAGACCAGGAAAACAAAAATCCTCAGCACTGGACCAATAGGCAACATCATAATAGTTGGAGAAAAGATTGAAGTTGTCAATGATTTCATTTTACCTAGATCCACAATCAACACCCATGGTCAAGAGACATACTGCAGTAGGTAAATCTGATGTCAAGCACCTCTTTAAAGTATGAAAGAGCAAGGAAGCCAGTTTAAAGACTAAGATAGACTTGGCTCAAGCCATGCTATTTTCAATTACTTCATGTGCATTTGAAAATTGGACAACAAATAAGAATTATCCAAGAAGAACTGATGTCTTTAAATTGTGATGTTGGTGAGGAGTGTTGAATATTCATGAGTTGCCAAAAGAACTAAAAATTCTGTTCTGGAAGAAGTGCAAATGAAATGGACCTTTGCAAGGATGATGAAATGTCATCTCACACACTTTGAGTATGTTGTTAGGGGAGATTATTACTCGGAAGAGACATCAGGGTGGGTAAAGTAGTCACTGAAAGAAAGGCAGACTCTCAACAAGACGGACTGACATCATGAGCGCACCAGTGGACTTGAACTTGGTGGAGGTTGTGAAGATGGTGCCAGAGAGGGCATGGAATTGGCCTGCTGTTCATAGGGTCACTGTGAGTCATAGTTGACTAGACATATCTAACAACAATAGTCTTTAGGAGGGCGGGTCACCAAGTCTTATCTTCTTTGAGGCAGCTAGGGGGTTTGAACATCTGAACTTCTCATTAGCAGCTAAGTGCTTAACCATTGCACCACCATGGTTCCTTGTGGCATTGTAGTCATTATGTGTCATTGTGTCAGATCCAACCCATAGCTGACCCTCTAGCAAGTTTTCAAAGGCAATAAATCACATGGGAGGAAATTGCCCATCTTTCTCTCACAGAGCAGCTGGTGGATTTGAACTGTATACCTTTGTGTCGACAGCACAATTCCTTACCATGAAGCCACCAGAGCTCCCTTTGATTAACAGCTTGTACATAGTGTTGCTGTAAGTTGCAGGCGACTCAACAGAATAGAACAACAACAACAGGATAAACTCCAAACCCCAAAGCTAATATCACTGCAATGAGTTGATTCCAACTCACAGTGATCCTCCGTAAGACTTCCAAGACTATCTTTATAGGGGATCAATGCCTGTCTTTCTCTCTCGGAGCAGGTGCATTCAAACCCCTGACCTGTATGTCTGCTGTGTGACACACTTTGCACTCCACCACAAAAACTCCTTAAAGACTTCCTGTGAGGGAGAAGAATACTGAGTATCCCATGGACTGCCAAAAAAAAAACCCCATAAATGTCTTGGGAAAAGCGCAGCCAAAGTGATATTTGGAGGCGATGAAGCTCCATCTCTCCTACTTGGACATGTTGCTAGGAGAGGCTATTCGTTGGAAAGGGACGTCATACTTTTTAGATGGAGGGTCAGTGAAAAAGAAGAAGACCTCCAACAAGATGGACTGACATGGTAACTGCAGCTATGGGCTCGAGTGTGTCAGAGATGATGAGAAATGGCACAGGATAGGATAGGGTTCATGTTTGTTGTTTATAAGGTTGCTATGAATCGTAACTCAACTACACTTATCAACAACATACCAAACAGGTATAGTAGTTAAAACATACTGCTGTTAACCAAAAGGTTGGTACTCCAGCTCATTAACCACTCTGGAGAAGAAAGATTAGCCCATTTGTTTCTGTAGAGCATTGGAAATCCCACAGGTAGTTCTAGTCTGCCGTATGGCTTCTCTATGAACTGGAATAGACTGGATAACATCAGGCTGAGGTGCACTGGGCTAGTGTTAGAGAAAGAGTTGGAAAGGGGATGATGTGAGACAAACCTTTAAAACAAAAATCTTTTGCTGAAATCACATTTCTTCAACCAGATTAATTCCTTTGGGTAAAGGAGGCAAAGCCCTCTCTAACAATGAAACAAATTATCTGGATAAAACAGTCATTATTTCTTTTGTATAAAACAAACCCAGTGTTGTTTAAGCAATTCTAACTCATTGCAACCCTGTAGGACGGAGTAGAACTGACACACAGGATTGCCAAGGTTGCAAACCTTCATGGAAGCAGACTGCTGCATTTTCTCCCATGGAGTGCTTGGTGGATTTGAATAGCCAAGCTTTTAGTCAAGCACTTAACCAATATACAAGCAGGATTCCTTTCTTTTGCATTGACTACATTAATCAGATTAGGGAACTGTGGTGGCCTAGTAGTGGGGAGTTGTGCCAGTAACCCGAAGGTACACAGTTCAAATCTACCAGCTGCTCCAGGGGAAAAAGATGGAAAGTCTTCTTCCTTGCTATTTTTTGCCCCTTAAAAACTGCTAGAGGGTCAGCTATGGGTTGACTTCAACTAGATGGTACACAACAATGTTAATCAGATTAGCTGGCCCATAACTAAATTTGACCAAAATGACAGAAGGGGGTAGTTGCTGAAGGAGATGTGAGGTGGGTAGGATGATGTGTAGTAAGTTCTCAAATAGGGAGACAGGGGAAAGTGCACAGTTGTGACCCAAAGAAGTTAGGGCAGCAGAAAGAAAGTTAGAAAAACAATGATAACCTCCACCCACTTTATTTTCTACTTACCACTACCTATTCCTGAATGACTTGAAAGAACTCTTTGTGTTTTTTTCCCCTCTTTTTGAAAAGCAATCTCTTTCCTCTTATTGGCCAGGGAAACACCATGTTTTCATGGTGAACCTGAAGTGAACCAAGGGTGAACCTGATGTTGTGGGGCTGAGCATAGGTGAGGTATACTGAGTGGGAATTACCTGTGGTGTAGTGTGGGAGTCTGGAGAAGAAATGCTGAGAAATAGGATGAAATCACCAGGGCCCAATCAAAGAAGAAACCACATATTTTATAGAAATATTTTGGCTTTCTATAGTTTAATCACAAGAAATGGGTGTCAGAACTCTGTTCTGAGAGTTCTTAATTTTAGTCAAGAAGAATTTTGTCTTTGGTTTCCTTTCTTTTGAGTATAGGGTTTTCCTTTGTTTTTCTATAATTAGCTGTATTTGTATTTCCCTTCCAATATTAAATCAGTTCTAGGCATTACTGCGTTACCAAAAAGTTTCAGTCACAAGTATATGAATTGACTTACCTCCTCTTACTACTCCATTTGTGCAAATAGCAGACATAGAAATACCTGTTAGTGTTGTCACTACCACGCTCAGACCAATGATGATGACTCCGAGACCTGCAAAAGCCCCCAAGAAAGGCATTTGTCTCCAGCACTAATAGAAGTCACTAGTACATGAAGAGTCTTCAGTCCAAAGCTCTGCGTGGAAGGATTCTGCTTCCCCATGAAGCACCTGCAATGTTCTAGAAGACTCCATTTAGTGACGGTCTCGTAAGTACCTGAAATGTACTTTAGAACCAAAATGATGTTCTGAAATAATTTCTATGAAACACCAGCAAGAGTCATGCAGAATCCCCTTAAAAAGAAAATGTTAATCCAAGGAATTCCAGCCTCTGGTAGCCATCACTTGGAATCCACCAGAGAAGTCCATTACAAAGGAACCTAGACCGAGCAGACTAGACCTGGACTTTACTCACAATACCTTGTGTTTCCTTCTGCATCCAACTCGTCTAGAGCATCTGGCTCTTCCTTGTTCCCAATGGCAGAAGTATATAAAAAGTGTTTGCCTACCGGTAGCAAATGATGAGGGTATTAGAGATCTTAGAGATTTTACCTCCACGAACAAACCCGTTAGTTGCTATTGCAGAAGTTGACAACCCAGTAATAGAAGTGACCATGGTGGAAAGGAGAATTATGAGAACTCCGAGACCTGGTAACAACGAAAGGTAGGAGACGTTATATTTTACTTCTCTTCCTTGTATTCCCTGCTGCTGCAAACTACACTGACTTTCATTTCAGTTTTCACATCCAAGGCTTCAGCCCCAATGGGGTTCCTTTGCGCTAAGGAGAAACGTGTATGCCTGGCATAAAGATCAAGTCGGGGAACTCATAATGCTGAAGGATGGCTTCACAGCATAAACACTCTAAAGCGCAGCCCAGGAAAGGAAAAGTTGACTCATGCTGGTGTCTTGGGAGAGAAACTGGCCGGGCTGTGAAGAGCAAAAACATGACATTTGACCTTCTCTTCTGCTTCAGAGGAACCTGAATGAGAAAGTTAGGGGTTTGACAAAGGTTAAATCTTTCTCCATTCTTCTTGCATCTCCCTTGTCTAGGAGGTGAAAAAAGGAACCAACTTAGATTACCTTGGAAAACACTCCCGAAAGGTCAGTGGTGAACTATCTGAGCTTGTGTTGCTTTTACCTTACAAATGATTGTGCAGGTCACAAGTTTAATTACCTCCTCTGACATATCCATTTGTGGCAATAGCAGAGGTGGATAGACCAGTGATAGCAGTCACTGTCACAGCTAAGCAGATGATAATCACACCAAGACCTCAGTTGAGAGAGGAAAAATAAAGGCAGTTAAGTGGTTGAACAACCCATTTGGTCGTTTACATAAAAAGCCAGCAAGTCAAGGGTAATCACCAAAAGATGGCATTTAAGTTTAACAAATTTGTCTGGAAATCTCCCCAAAGAAAGTGCTCAATTTTTAAGTTTTTCTGTTTTGAGTAAGTTGATACTGTATTCAAGAACCTTAGAAACATAAGCAGTGCTCAGAGGCACACACAGAGGACAAATAAGGCTTGTCACAGTCAAGGGAGAAGGTTACTTTTTATAAGGTTCTAGACTCCCATGAGGGAGCTCCTAGTGAATAAGAAATTGTGTGATTCCAACCATTGCTCCATGGAAGAAAAATGGACAATCTTCTTCCATGTGATTTACAGCCGCTGAAACCCTCCTGGAGAGTCAGTTATGAGTCGGCATCAGCTTGACGGTACATGACAAGAGAAATCTGTAAACGCAATTGATATTAGAATTCCGAGTTGCTAATTCACCCATAAACTAAATGTTCATTGTTTCAGGTGACTCTCTTTTTATGTACTTATGATGGTGTACGTACAAGTAAGAAAATGCATACAATACAGCAAATTTTTCATCTTGCAGAGTTGTAAAGAGGAAAGAATAAAATTGAACTTATTAGCTTTATGACCTTTGAGAAGTTGTTTATTTTGGTGGCCAAAAGATGGTCATGGAATTAGAAAGCAGCAAGTATGTGTACGGTGTTCATCATGCACACCAACCCCAAACCCACTCCTATAGATTAACTTTGACTCAGAGAAATCTCCCACTGCGTTTCTAAGCCTCTGCATTTTAAAGGAGACTGCGCATCCTTTTCCCTTGGAGTAACTTATGGGGTTCACACCAACTAACTTTTAACTAGCAGCTTGTCACATTATGGGAGCATGCCCTCAGGGCTTTGTAGCATAGTGCATAGAGCACAGTAAACAAGAAATAATTTTTGATCATTTTGTCCTATTGTGACCCTATAGGACAGAGTGGAACTAATGCAGAGGGTAAAAAAGGTGTAATATTTATGCAATCAGACTGCTTTGTCTTCCTTCCTCTGAGGGGAGTCAAACAGCCTACCCTTTGCCAAGCAGTTGATTGCTTAATCACTGCATCACTAAGACTCTTTCTTAAAAATAAAAAAATCCGGTGCGCTCTGGTGGCCTAGTGGCAAGAAGGTGTACTGCAATACCAGAGGTGCACGGTTCAAATCCACCAGATGCTCTGCTGGAGAAGGAGGAACAATCTCCTCCTGTATCAGTCAGATCTGATTTGACAGTATACACAACACACACGCAAAATAATAATAAAATAAAATAAAAATAAAAAGTTGTTTCCGTTAAAAAAAAAATCCCCTCTCTCAAGCCAATTTTGACGCATGGCAGCTGTCCATTGGCTTTCTAAGGTTGTGAATATTTCCAAGAGAATGCTGCCTATTTTTCCTCCAGGGAGCAGCTGTTGGATTCAAACTGCTGACCCTTCTTAAAACAGATTTTTTTTTCCTTTTTTTTATTAAAAGCCTACTGTATACAGAAAAACTTGAAAACACTGGAACCTGTGAAAGATGGAAAACTGATAAGTAAAGCACAAGTATTTTCCATTATCCAGAGGGATAGAAGAGTGAAGAATGCACTTTGTCAAAAAGTAGGCCTGGAAAACAAGGTAGTCTCTAGACCAGGGAGCTCTGGTGGTCTGGAATTCAGTTAAGGAGTTGTGCTACCAACCCAAAAGCAAGAGGTTTGAATCTACCCCCTGGAAGTTCAGTTACGAATTGGTTTTGATTCAAAGGCACATAACAACAGACTCTTAAAAGCTATGAACTTTGAGACATAGCGGCACTAAATTCTTTGTATCTTATGAAAGAATCCTGTGGTGAGCACTGCTCCTTCACTGTGCTGAAGCCTCAGGGTTATGTGCTATAAAAAGTGGTTATTTCATTTGCACATTATTTTGCTCTGGGTTTTGTTTTAAGGAACTTTGTTGTCAAATGTTTAGCTCATCTTTAGCATCTATGCGGAGCCAAATAGTTTGCCTCTCAAGGCTTTAAACCCAGTCTATCATTCTCTTAACCTTCTTTTTTTTATTATTATTATTAAATTTTATTAGTTTTAATGAACATTTACAGAGATTTTGGGTTTTCATTCGTTCATTGTTGCACTGTTTTCCTTCTTTTCCAACAATTTTCAATTCTCCTTTTACACCGTATATTTTGAAAGAATAGATTCAGCTCCCTAATATCTGAGCTCTGGTGGCTTAGTGCTAAGGAGATGAGCTGCCAAAGTCACACAGTTCAGATCCACCAAATGTTACAGGAAGAAAGATAGGCAATCTTCTCCCTTGTGATTTACACTTCTGAAAATCCGCACTGGGGGCTCAGCTAGAAGTTGGTTCCACTTAACACTACATAATGACAACAATAATTTTTATATGAGAGCATGGAACCAAAATGACTTACTTTTCCCACCCTCTTTCCATTCCAAAAGTTTATTGGAAACTCTCTTGTCCTAGCCCAAAGTCTCTGAGACAGAGAAGAAAAACCAGACCACATCAGTAGCACATTCTACCATTTGATTGGGGAACTAGGCAGTCAAAATGTATAGTCCCAGAATGGTGACTGTAGCTACTGTTACTTCTGTCCCCAGCTACCTCTGTCTTTATTGCCAGAATCTGGCTTAGAACATATATTTAGATTTGTTCTCCAAACTAAGGGAAAAAGTGTTGTATATGTTTCTTTCCTTTCCCAATAAAGAGAACCCAAATGGGACCCAGCTGGTGACTCAGGCCACCATTTAGCTTTTAGTTCACAGTAAAGGCTAATAAATTTGCTTCTCTTGTGCAAATTTAAACTAAACACTCCCAATCAAAATAAAATCCACAGGACACTGGACACTTGTCTTTAGAAAAGACATTTCAAAAGCAGGGTTGACTACATTCCAAAAAAGGTCCTTTTAAAACAGCAGTGACTGTGGCACTGGGGGTTGGTGTGTCAGAATTAGTGAGACTGGCTCAGGACAGGGAAGGGTTCAGAACTGCTGTACTTAGGGTCCCTAGGCATCGCAGGTGACTCAAGGGCACATAACAACAATAACATATTATGACAGGTTTGGAAGCAGGAGTGGCATTTGCTTCCTAAATAACATGCCTCCAGAAGCCCTATGAATTTTGATAACTGTCGATAGTTGTAGAGGGGCTTCATAGAGTTGCTATGAGTCGTGCTCAACTCAAAGGCAATCAACAACGACTACCACCACCTAAAGTGAGAGAAAAAAATGGGAATCTCCTCCCATATGATTTGCAGTCTCTGAAAACCTGCTGGAGGTCAGCTATGAGTGGGTTCCAACTCAGCAGCATTTAACAGCAATACCTAAAAGTATAATAAACAATTTAACAGAATATAGTATTCTTCCTGTGTCATAGTTTTGCCATAAACATGAAACTGGATTGACTGTGAAGAATAATGTAAGATCTGATTAAAGTTCGGATTATTGCCCAAACATATGGATGTTAAATAAGTTACATTAAGAAGAATTACTCTTGCCCCGGGCTACTCTCACACCTCCAAACAGAGTAATGTTTCTTGATGATCTCAATAAGTTACTAAACTGCCCTTAAAAACCTAATTTTGCGTGAAACCCTCGAGCAAAAACTTGGCAATATTAAGATGCAGATTTTCCATGGAACAGCACATACTTATTTTGGACCCTGCGGCTGTAAGCGCTCATTTGATATGCACCATAAAGCTGGCAAGCAGCTCTTTGTCAGGCACCCAGCAGTAGCCAAACATGAAACATGGAGAAAGTATGGGAGCTGGTTCCAACTTTTCAATTTACAACTCAGCCCTTTCTTTTTTCAATTAAGTCTCCTCATGACTCGGAATGTGTTTTGAGGAGTGAAGGCAATAAATTATGACCAAGCACCTTTTAAATGTGAACTGAGATATATTCTGGAGTCGTGTCTGAAAGCACATCTGAATGTCTACATCATTGATAGTAATGATTTATAAGTTTCCCCCCAAATTTGATTCTATAATACATTTTCCAGACATATGCTCATATATAAAGTAAAATGCCATTAATCTTTATCATGTAAAATAGGAAGTATTGATAAAGTGTAAATAAATTTTTTATATAGCAATTACAAAGGTACCCTTTAAAAAGATCTGCTAGAAGAAATAATAAGACTTTAAAAGGATATAATTTTTTAAAATTTTAAGCCATCACTCTAAATAATTTTAGTATCTTCTAGTTTCCACTTAGAAAAGTACCTAATCTGTCATTTTAAGCTTTTATCTAGCAATCCTTTGTTAACCTTTTTTACTCCTAGTATCTGAAAGTAGCAAAGTTATTTTCTCTGGAAAGTATTCAATAATCCAGCAATTTAATTAGGTAGGTCGCATTTTCACCCATTTTTCTGCAAGTTGTTTGGGGTTCATATTCTTTGGCAATAATTATAAAGCACATATTCTGTGAGAAAGGAGGTATAATTGTCAACCTGTTTCAAAAAGGAGTATCATTATTTAAAAGTAAATGTGTCTCATATATAAGGTGTACTTGCTACCAAAACCAGAAATAATGATTTTAAGTATCATCTGATTGGTCTACTGGAAAATTCCAGTCCTGCAAGAATTAATTTTTCACCTTTCCTGCTGACAAATGTTGCCCAAGAAGCAAAGTCAGAGAAACCCAGGTATAAACAGTATAATGCTTATGTCACATCTAGCATTAATGTTGCTGATTGAGCTTATACTTTATGTGGAAAATTGCTTAGGAGGGGAAAATGCTTACCAATTCCAGCTTCTCCGATAATCCAAGATAGGCGAATGAAAAGCATGACACCCCAGATATTCAGCATGCATCTTACCTGTAAAGTTGTATCGAAAGCAAAGTGATAATTGAGAAAAGTCAAGCCATTCTCATAACTTTGTGGTGGTCAGGCTTGCTGAGAGCCCATTAGAACATCTACTGAATTGGTTTGTAAACATAAGAGCTTACTTACCAGCACACCTTTCACCCATCCAAATTTCACAGCGCCACCTTTCTCATCTTCCTCTTTGTTTTCGATTTGTTCATCTCCAGGCATCCCTTCACCATTAGCAACCCTGTCAGCGGAACCCGGAGCCACTGCCACGTTCTGCATTTTCAGAGAGAAAAGGCACAAACAAGTCCACAAATAAGCATATCCACAAAATATTCAAAGGTAAATCAGTACAAATGATAGAACTTTAGAAGAAAGGAAAAGGAAACATACTCATTTCAGCAAAAGAAACATTTTGGCTTTGGGAACTGAGAGTCTTGGCTCTTAGGCATCATTAAGGCTCTGTGATAAGAAGTTCTGGTGGTCAAAAGTGACAAGTTTGAATCTACTCTGCTGTAAACATTTACAGCTTCCAAAATCTGATGGAGAAAAGTTATAATTAAGAATTTATTGGGAGGTGGGGAGCTCTGGTGGCCTAGTGGCAAGGAGCTGCAACTACAATCCCAGAGGCTCACGCTTAGAATCCACCAGATGCTCTGCCGGGAAAGGAGGGACAATCTCCTCCTGTACCAGTCAGATCTGATTTGACGGTACACACACACAAAAATAATAATTAAAAAAAAAAGAACTTATTGGGAGGGGTGGTCTTGGGCAGGGAGAAAAGGGCAACAATGAATGACTGGAAACCCTAAGTCTCTATAAACTTTCATTAAAAGTAATTAAAAAAAACAGAAACAAGAAACTAAAAGACAAAAGAAAAAAATAATCGATTTGGTCACAGTGGGCTTTCTGGGAAGTCTACAGGGAGAATTCTTGGCTGGTGCAAACTGTTAATGTACTCAATGGTAATCAAAAGGCTAAAGGCTCGAATCCACTTGGTGCAACGGGTCTGCAGTTGACTTTTAATGAGTGTCTAACCTCTCTATTACCTCTCTGTGTCTCCTTTTAGTCACCTAAAATGATGACAGAATTGTCCAATTCACTTTGGATCTTTAAGAGGATTCAATGAAAGAACACATAGAGAAGTTTTCTTAAAAGTTCTCAAGTATTCTCAAGGAGTTCTGGTGGTCTAGTGGCAAAAAGCTGCACTACAATCCCAAAGGTTCATGGTTCAAATCCATGAGATGCTCTGCTGGAGAAGGAGGAACAATCTCCTCCT